AAAAAATAAATAAATAAAATCGCACAGTGTACGCCCGGCTTTATTTGAAGAAGTTATTTATTAATTCATGACCTGTTATCGCTTAAAGCAGGCATCCCCAAAGTGGGTCCTCGAGGGCCGCAGTTCTGCAGGTTTTAGAGGTTTCTTTGCTTTAGCACAGCTGATGCTGATGATTGCAGTTCAGCAAAAGCCTGTTAATCAACTACTAAAGTAAATCAGCTGTGCCGGAGCAGGGAAACCTCTAAAACCTGCAGGACTGCGGCCCTCGAGGACCGACTTTGGGGATGCTTGGCTTAAAGCATAGAGTAAGTAATTTAAACAGTCAAATCTGAAAAAACAATAAAATATATATACTAGAAACTGACTCTGGTAGCGCAGGCCTCAACCAGGCAGCACATTGTGCCCCATATTGTGACTTAAATCTATATACTGGTGAAGATTCTCAGTCATCCTGGTCATAGTCATTCCAAAAAAAAATTTAAAAGCAAACATGATTTCTAATTATGTTATTTTTTAAGCCATAGCAAAGCTTTGGTTGGGCAATTCTATAAAACCTGGGGCTCCACACTACTCCAGACATTTTGAATCGAGAAAGCTGGATGGGAAGCGAAACATCTTCAAACTTGGAAAAAAGTCTAGTAGTTTTGTTTTTAACCTTTTTTTTTGGAATAACTTAAATCTATAGCTAAAACTCAGACATCTTTATGAATTCTTCTTTGGCAATGACACCTACATATAAAAATTCCATTAAAATCACTTCATAACTATTCAAGTAATCCTGCTAACAAAACAAAAAATCAACCAAGAAACATGACAGAAAATATAACCTCCTTCGAGGAGGAATGACTATGACCTGGACGACTGAGAATCATCACCAGCTTTTTTGAGGAGGTTGAAGAAAAATCAACATTTAGTGTTTTAGAAAATCCAACAATCAGCCATAAAACCAATGGATTTACCCCTGGGTACAAACTGGAAGAGTAAAGAATGCAAATTCAAACTTACCTGTGTAATAAACAACCTCATCCCAACCCTCTCGCTGCCATGCGGCATTTCTGATTTCATCTCTGGTCTGAAGATCTTTGTAAGCTGATAAAAAAAAAAATTACATTTATTTATAGGCTGGCCCCATAAGTCTACTTCAGCTTCAAGCTCAAGGCAGCTATTGTGTAGAAACAGCTGGACTGAGGTGTGTTCATTCACAAAGGTCCCAGATACCTAGCCAAAAAAAAAAAAGCTGCCCATTAAGGGGTAAAAATGAAACAAAATGTTCATTTCAGGAAACTGCTCACCCCATAAGTGATGAACCTGGTAAAGACTTCCAATCTGTGAGAAAAAGCCTCCCACGGCCTCATGGTTCTGCTGGCGAATCTCAATCGCCCGCGCCCTGCAGATCGTCCCGTCAAAAAATGTAAACACAGTGAGCTGCTCATTCCTGAGCCATGAATGCTTTTAAACAAGACAAGGGCCGTTTCTCAATTCTAAATTGGGAGCAAGCAGCATAAATATGGATCAGTTGGAACAGATGCGTACTTGTGACGTCATCACACGCTCGGCTCGTCTGGAGCTGCATTTCACCTAATGTTATTAATGGTCTCTAGATAATATTAGATTCTGACTTTTTTCATTTACTAGGGGAATAATAATTAATACAGTCAGATAAACACAATTCAAATTATAATTTAACCAACAAAAAAAATAAAAAATCGCCATCAGAGCCAGAGGCGATTTTCTTCCAGGGGAGCTCTGTGAGTGGTCCCCTGGAAGCTGCTGCTGCTGCAGTGCATGCTGGGACAGTTGTCCACCTTGAGAGTGGATAAGTCTGCTCTGGTGCATACTAGGTAAAGAGGGAGGGGTGAGAACAACATCCGGGGACTTTGTCCTTTCTCAGTCTTGTGTTTTTGTGAACTGGAACAGTACTAGGGCTGAGGCTGATGACGTTTCACGAGTACACAGGCACGTGAGAATGCACAAGTACACATTTTGAGAAAGGGCCATGGTTTACTTTCATTTTAAAGTTTAAGGATTTCCAGATCACATTCATTGTTCTCCTTTCAAGAATTACAAAAAAAGTGAAAACATTGAAAAATGAAAAAAAAATAGGATGAAGCTCAGCCATCTGAGGTTCTAACCTACAGCACTAAAAAATACATCTTTACTCAGCAATCAGATTTGATAACATAGAACAGCAATCTGTTATCTATTATTTGTGCAGTAAAACAAGGAAAGTCATTCTTACCAATAATTTCCCCACTCAATCATCGTCCCTGGCTGGAATTACAGCGGAATAATGGACAATGTTTAAGCTTTTGCTATAATAAAATATGTTAAATGAACCAAGCTGGTGAGAAAAAAGCAGTCTTACTCTGAGCTGATATGATCGGAGCTCATAGATGTTTGGTCCGGGACGAGGGACGGGTTCACCCCAGAAGCTGAACTCCAGCAGCAGCTGATTTCTACGAGACAGCAGCATCTTTCCCCTCTCATTTCTGTAGTTCATAAACACCTACGACACGAACAAAGAAAAAACAGGGCCGTTGTTAAACAGATCCAGAGCTAAACTATTAAGAGTCAACTGGGCACATTTCTCACTGTTGAGTGAATTAGGATGTTTTTTTTTTTTTTTAAGCATAAGCCTCACAATAATTTTAAAGCGTAAGTAAAGTGAAAACTAAAAGGGAAAATAATTGGGTTGCATCTCAAGTTATTAAGAATGGATTAGGAAACAACACTAAGTTAATTCTAATGGATTAAGTAAAAAAACAAAAAACAAAACAACAACAAAAACAGTATCAGTAATTATATAAAAAAAAATTATTCAAGCACACTGATAAGTCGTCTTCCTTCCAACCATGCGGTCAAATGAGAGCATTCTTATCTTTCCATTCTTTGAGAGTAACCCCCAACAGCATGGATAACACAAAAATCTATTTCACTACAATACTTACCAAGCATACAGTTCATTTTACTAACTCGGTTAATATCCCTAAATGTTAACACGCAATAAATAAAAAGGACTACAACAGCTCTCTGAGAAATGGTGATTTACACCAATATCGCACATGATCAGGCTCATCACCAAATTTTTATAAATCTTTCCTTAGCAGGAGGTACACCACCGGCAACAATTTCCTTTAAATCCTTTCGTGCGTTTATAACTAAGGCAAAGTGTGTTTCTGCAGCCTCTGGTGTTTGTCCTGCTCTCACCTTCTTCATTCACTGTGCTTTCTTGTTTGATCAGCAGATCGAGATTTCGAGGGAAGCTTTGCTCATCTTTCCTGTGTTTTTGTCTTCCTTATAATCTGGACTTTTTTGAGTCTAATGATGAAGCTGTCAATAGCCCCTGCTGACACTCTCTGGTTTATTTACCAAATAAGGTTAAGAAATCCTTCAGAAAAATCCTGAATCATAATTATGATGTGGGTCATTACCAGAATCTTATGAATTGTTTCTTAGACTGAGGTGCACGTTTAGTAAAAATGTACTGTACTTTCTGGAATATAGAGTGCACCTCACTATAGGCCGTGGCCACTACTGTCTCCCACCAAACCTGTAGAGGGAGCTCTACTGTACATATAGCCCCTAGAGTAGGGACAAAGAAGAATACTAGCTCCTGTTAGCTTGTTGGCTCGCAGCAGTAAAAGCTTCTACTGAAATATGGGGCTTTGTCGGCTCTTTATTTCAGCCCTGCTAGAGTTAAGCCCAGACTCTTCATTGGTTGAGCAGCTTTAATGCGGCAAATAAATGACTAAATGTGTGACTTTGTGACACTTGTTCTCCGTCGTGCCTGCTGCTAGCATTCTTGTGCTAAATTAAAATTAGCCCCTGTCACTAGGGGTGTAAATAGTAATCGTTTTGTATCGATGCATCGTTCCAACAGCCGACGATCCGATGCATCGATACGTCTGCAAGAGTATTGATTCATGTTTTTTTTCTTCCTCCGGTCTATTTTTATCCATTTGCTCCTGGACGAATTCTCCCTCCCGTGCTGCGGTGGCGCTAAACCTATTTTGCCCTCCTACCTTACTTCCTGGCTCTACTCGTACAGTAGTGTATTGTAGTAAGCTTGACACAGACATTATTGATTTATGCTCAATATTGAAGCGTGGTCTGTGCTACACGCTGTGGGTCTAGATACGGCCGAGGCGGTGAGGAAGTGTGCGCAACTTTAGTCCGACACGGAGGGACATGAGGGCCAAAAAGAGCGGAGATCCAGGTGGAAAAAGGATCCCAGCGTTCTCGTGCACCTCGCTCTTCTAGCGGATCAAACTTCACGAGTTGTTTTCCGCATTTTTGGTCATAAAACCAAAACAAGCCAGCCTCCTGTTTGCGGCACTGTTTGCGGTCAGCTACAATTTGGGAGAGGTGCAGCGGAGCGTCTGTGGAGGGGGCGGGAACGTCTGGAGCCGAGGTATTGAATTACACTCATTGCACTGATTTTGTGCAGCATTTTTTGATGAAAGGCTTTTCAGAATCTATTTCGCAGGGTTATTATTATTTTTCAGTGAATGAGGTTTTAATAGGAATTAGGGTTGTCAAAAGTATCGATACTCAAAAAAGTATCGATACCGAAACGTTGCATCCGGATACAATACTCATTTTTAAAAGTATCGACACAGCCATCAAAAGTGCAGAATAGTGGAAAATGCACTTTCTGAACACTGTGTGATTGAATAATTCTGTGCATTATTCAGTTTCATACTTTTTTCTGTAACAGGTACAGCTGCTTGGAATTATTTTTGTTTAATTGGTTTGGCGGGTGTCATTGTTATGTCTGCAAAACATAGCCAAGGAAGGAACACTTCATTTTAATTTTGTAAGTTTTTTATCAAGCTTGCTTAATATTGTGCACAGCATACAACCTCAAAATACTATTCTTATTGTTTTTTTAATTATTTCTTGTATTTTATTAGTAATGAAAATATTTCTGTTGAATTTTAGAGTCTTTGTTTTTTTTTCTTGTGGTATCGAAAAGGGTATCGAGTATCGAATATTTTACTTAGTATCGGTATCGAGTTGAAAAGTTTAGTATCGTGACAACCCTAATAGGAATAGATGGAGTGCAACTTTTCTACTTCTGTTATTTGCTGTTGTATTCTTTAGTGAATTCTTTAGTGAGTTAAGGATAGAAATAAGTAGTTTTAGTACCATAATTACATTATTTATGGACACCCGGATGTATATCTATTCGCCCATGCGCAGGATGGATCGTGCTTCTGGGACGGATCTGGTAGTGACAGCCCCTCCTGTAATTTCCAACTCTGACTTCACCCTCTGGCGGTTAGTGAAAAAAAATCAACAGAAATGCCACACCTTCTTATAGAGTGAGAAAAAAAGTAGTAGCTGGTAAATACGGTAATAAAAATCCATTCATAACCTTACAAGTTCTTCTGTACACAAACGGACAGACAAACACATTCGACTAAAAACATAGCTTCCATGGCGGAGGTAAAAACAAACAGCTGGAGAAGCAAAGATAAACACATGAACTAAAGACTGGCCTGTGGAACTATCCTATAGGCTGTGAACTCCGGCCCATAGGTAAGCAGCATACAGAGAGCTGAACTAATCCGAGCCCCTGTTACCTTATTCTGCCTGAGTTTGTTCATGACTTCGGTGAGAGCTGGGTATCCTCCCCGATATCTCCATAGGTGAACTAGAATAGAAGGAGCAGAAGTGCCAGAAATAATGCAGCTCTGGAATATGTTTTCCCCTGGGCCAAATATTCCTTCACATCAAAATACTATAGTCAATTCTTTAAAACAGATTCTTATAAACAACGCTGTAAAATCAGTTGCAGTATGCAGGAGACGCCACCACATTGCTGTCTGATGCTAAGCATAGGCCACTACTACATAGCTCACTACTGTCTCTTTATTTTCCATTAAGGGTGATGCTGTAGTATTTGATCCTTTACTGTTTATAAAGAAATTGCCATCATGACGGTGCTGTTTCAGAGTCAGATTACAGGTAAGGAGCGACGCCATGTGATCACAGAACAAAATGGACTACAGTCAGGAAAAATTGCAAGACACACATCGTTTTTCTTAGCTAAATATAAGAGCAAAGAGACATACTTCTTCACTACACTACTTATCAAAAGTATTAATACCCCTTAAATTTCTCCACAGTTTGTCACGTTACAACCACAGAACTTTGCTCTCAATCTGCAGGTTTACTAGTGGTTCCTAGTATTTCTAAAAGTAGAGTGGGAGGCAGATCTTTTAGTTGTCAGGCTCCTCTCCTGTGGAACCAATTACCAGTTTTAGTCTGTGAGGCAGACACCCTGTCTACTTTTAAGGTCAAGCTTAAAACTTTCCTTTTTGATAAAGCTTATATTTAGAGTGGCTCAGGTCATCCTGAGCCATTTCTATAGTTTTGCTGCTATAGGCTTAGACTGCTGGAGGACATAGTGACCCCTTTTTCATCATCTCTATTCTCCCAATCTGCAGAATCTGTTAGTTCAATCTCTAACGTTATGCTCTCACTGCTTTTTATCATAGTTGCTGGACTGAACTACAACATTTTTTGTTTACTCTTTGCCAAAATACTTAAGCTCTGTTTAAAATAAGTGAAAGCATCCAGGAAGATCAATTATACTCACGCCACAGATTGAACTCAATTCAAAAATACTTTGTTAATCCCAAAGGGAAATGACAACAGGTTGCTTTAAGTTGTGGACTATGAATTGGCTGTGATCTGAAGCAGTCCACTGGCTCCAGTTTTTTATGAACATCTGGGTTTCCTTCCAGGGTGGTGTTGCATTGAGCTCTATTAATCCTCCAATCAACTGACCAGCCTTCCTCTGTCTGCTGAAGGAAAGAATCCCCAAAGAGGCTACCATGAGGATGGTGAAACATAGTGGTCCTTTTAGGTCAGATATATCAAATGCACAACTAATATGTGTCATGAATAGATTCTTCCAGCTGAGATGTGGATTTTTGCAGCTCCTCCAGAGTAGTCCTGGGTATCCTAGCTGCTTCTCTGATTAATCTTTGCCTAACCTGTAAGTTTAGGTTCGAAGCCATGTCTCGGTGAGTATGGGTTTAGATTTTCCTATGATGAAATGAACATTTCTCCATGTGATGCGCCTGACACCTGTATTTATACTGGGATTAAATTACATACAACAGGACTCTTGTTACTAAAAAGGTGACATTTGAATAATATTTACTGGGATTTATTTAGGGGTTTTAGAGTAAAAACAAAAATTTGTATTTTTCCACTTCATGGTTAAGAACCACTGTTTTGTCGGCACGCTTGTAGTTGCAATGTGACAAAATGTGTAAACATTCAAGGGATTTGAAAACGATTGTAATCATTTTGATTTTAAATATAAGAGATATAGTAATAAAAAGGAATTTGTTAGGTTGAATGTAAAACATAAAATCTTCCAAATTCTTGTGTTTTTTCTAACTTTACTTGGATTCAACTCAACATTTCTTTAATTCCACAGAATTATAATTCAAATGTTTCATTTTTTTTCTCTGTTAATCTTTTCAGATTTTCAATCTCCCACAATCTCTGCAATTTTGCATATTTATTTCTCTCTTTTACTCCAAGTAAAACAGTAATCCTACTGTTTGGATTATTCTTCCAAAAGCCAAATAATCTCAGTCTGCCTGGATGTTCCTGAAATGCAAACAGGGGGTCGCTCATGAGGCTCATAATATCTATGGTTTTAGCCATAGCTTGAGTTAGGATCATAGTATAAGAGTAAAAGAGCAGAGGATGTAAAAACCTCATATTATTGATGTTTCATCTTCTATAAAGAAGGTTGCAAATTGTTTCAACGTGGCTACAGCTGGCACTAAAAGACCAAGGGGTAAACATTTCCTGCAGCAGCTAAAATAACTACAGTAAAAGAAAAATGCATGTTTAAGCTCTAGATTCATCATGTATTAATCAGATCTTTCTTGTTTTAAAAGGACATTTTACTTCGACTGAGCTTTCTAACAGAAAAGCCTTTAATCGAAAGAACTAAGCCCGTTTATCAAAACCTAGAGAGTATTTTCTAATCTTACCTGCTTGGTCTTGCTCTCCGTACCATGTGTTCCAGGTACCCACCAGCTCACAGGGGTATTCAGGATCAGCATGAATGGAGGGTAACACTTCCTCGCTGTGAACAAACACACAGGAATGCACTGGAGCTGAGCTTTAACAGAACATAAGAGATTAATCAGGGAAGGAGGGCTACTTACCAAAGTTCATTGTAAGCATCAAGGCACTCTGGTTTAACATTATGAACTGTTGAGGGGAAAAAAAAGGATAAGTGGACATAACATAACAGTAAATTTTTATAGAATAATTAATGATAAAGGCAATTAAGAGCTGTAACACATACATTGTATTTTGTACAGATTGTTGTCCTCTTTCTTGGAAAGAAGATGCGAGTGAGCATCTTTTCTGGGGTTGACTTGTCTCACAAAAAGAGATTTAAGTCCTGACAGTCCCCTGTGGAGAAAAATAATTTAAAAATCTTAGCATTTCTCCTGTAGAGGTTGTAAAAGATCTGCCTGTTTAGCAACCGAACAGCTCTTATTTATTGCGCTAAACGTGCCAAGAACTGATGAAAAGCATTATACTTTGCAAAAGTATTCACACCCTGGAAACTTTTTAACATTTCCACAAGGTTACAATCACAAACATCAATGTGACGGCAAATCACAATATAGTGAGTCGCTTTGAAATAAAGGGAAAAGAAAGGAAGGTTTTCAAAACTTCAAACAGGTAGAAATCTGAAAAGTGTGGCATGCTTTGGATTTCATCCAACCTGTTTCAATAATATGAGCTGTAGACTTTGTAATTGCTGTAGAGTTAAACATGGACCTTCTACATGCTTCTCTGATTCATTCTCTCCTTAACGGGTCCCTGGCTGTTAATTAGTTAGATCACACAAATTAGAAGGCATTTAGCTTTACAATAAAAACAGAAAAACAAACTAAAAAACTACAATGAAACAAACAAAACTGTACAAAACAAAATGTAGCTTTGTATACAATCTGTGTATACAAAATGAAAATAAATGTCATCTAAGTCCAAGTCTAAAAAAAGTAAACTATGCTTGACAGTCTGTATTTTATGGGATAACTGCAGAGGATTCCCACAATGGAAGTGCACTAATGGTACATATTATAGAAATATAAAAACTGGATAAAATTAGAAATTTGTTTGTGATGCTTTTATAGGATTGCCTTGAATGGCAATCAGCAAAAATAATAAAAAATGACTGACTGAGAAGATTAAATTAATGGCTGGTAAGTCTGTCATTGTGCCACGATCTCTCCCTTTTCTAACTGTGGATTTAACAGTGGTGATTTATGAGACGTTAAAAGGCCGGGATATTGTTTTATAACCTAACTCTGCTTTAAATCATTAGCTTCCCTTTTACACATGTGTCATTTCTCCTTGGTCTTCACAGTGCTGTTTATTCACTAATGTCCTCAAACATTTTGAGGTCTTCATAGCAAAATTATTCTAAGAACATTTTACATACATGTGACCTCTATTTACTTATTATCTGAGTTCTGATCGTTGCATGCTTCAGGGGATTCAGACCGTAGGGGCCAGAACACAGGTCATCAAAAATGAAAATAAAATAAAAAACTTAACACTACACAGTAATTTTTTTTATTTGTAACATACACTCCCGGTAATATACAACAAATTAGAAGGTGCTATAAAAAACAATAAATAAAGGCTTCAAAAGATGAGTCTATGTATTATTAATCTATAGTAGGTGTTTAATATAGTCAAATAAGGAACTAATAACAATTAATTTTTGAGAGGATTCTAATTAGATGGCTAAATAGTGTAAAGAAGACATATAAAAGGTGTGGTTATGATTTTATACCTGTTCTGTTAGGTGGAGTCTAATAGCTGAATATGTTTATAAAACTTTAGCAAAATTTATGTTCGATGTTTTAAAGTCTCCTAAGCATATTCAGATATGAATAAAACTGCTAGCTGATATAGGGTCCCTTTAAAAAAAACACACTAAAAAAAAAAATGAATATATATATATATATATAT